ACTGTGATGTGCAGTACACTGTGATGTACATTGTACATGTAGTCTGTCGTTGGATGTAGCAGTTTGGTGCTCTGATTGGAGTGGCTCCTCTTCCCCCCCTCTGTCCCATGGCGTCCTGCTGCATGAAAGGGCCGCGCTCCTGGTGCGGGTGTCGGCAGAAAAACCGCAGGAGGAACATCAGCCTGGAAATGAATTCCCACAACGGACGCCGACAGCAAGGTACGGTGCGGGTACATAAAGTACCAGTACATTCTTACATGTACATAAGTGCCATGTACATTCAAAGTTGGGCTGTGCCAACTGTGGTTATGAAGTACATGTACATGTACTGCTCTGTGTCCATTGTACGTGCATACAGGTAATGCCATTGCGTCCCCACTTTGGGCAGTGTGGAGCTTTCTTCGGGTCCGTGTAAGAATGGCAAACTGGCTGCCTTCAGGTTCAGGTTTGTTATCCCAAGGCCAGACCAGCTGACCAGTGTCATGGACATCCTTATCTTCACAGGTTCCAAAGAAATAATGAAGAAATCTACCTAATGGTGCAGGACCAGATTTGCTGTTTGTCAAGAGCCTGTCACATGGGCGGGTGGTGAACTCGTAAATCACCAGTTAGCTCCTCATGTTCTGTGTCACCTCACTGAGTATACCCCACGCGCACATCAATCTCCAAATGAGGAAATTGAGACAGGCATATACATGCACATCCGGTCGAGGGTTGTTTTGAAAATGAAGTAATATTGTTTGACGAAGCCGTTGGGAACACAAATTCAAAAAAACTTTTCGAACTGTCTGACTCTCAAGGTATTTGAACGGGAATAAATACATGCAGGCCTAGGTGCTCTGCCGGTCCTAAACTTAAGTTTAAGACCACGTCAGGAGAATGAATGCTAAATAATGCCCTTGCCTACGGCTCAGGCAGGAGTTGTGTTCATTCTCCCAAGCTAGTTTTCATTTAAGACCGGCCAAGCTCAATTTTATTCCCTTAATATAAAATATACAACATGACTGCATGTACTTAGGGCACTAACCTGAATGCGAGGGTTATCACTGTACTGTTAATCAAAATAAAGAAAGGCTCTTTTCTCCGTATTGAGTCCTATTGAGTCTCAATTTAGGGAATGTTTTTTCTGTGCAAGTGGTCCAGCATGTCAGTGTTATGTCAGTTGTCTCAGTAGAGCAGGCTAACAAGTTACATCTGTGTTTTCATGTTCTAATGATGTTCACATTCCTACTCTGACCCCGAGTTACAGTTTTGGGATCTTTTTTCCCCCTCCATTGTCAAAATCGCTTGGATCAGGCTATCGCAAAGTAATCAACCCTCCTAAGTGCAGACTTTTTTTTCCTTGGACTGCACCATTCTCTTGGAGTGTACTTTTAAAGCCAGTTCTTAGAAATATTTCTCTTGATGCCATATTGGTATGGGTGGCTGGACATGCACAGTGGTGCAGGGTCTAGTTATTCTTGTGAACTGGTGGTGCCCAATTTGTTGAGATTGTAAGTACCTGTAGTTAGCAGGGCAGTCCGTGTACATGTCAGCATGTTGCACACGCACTGTGCATGTGAAGTTTACTTCAGAATGGTTACGTTTGCTGGATAAGAATTTTTTTCTCAGAAAAATGTCAAATTCTCTAGTTCGGTATGTGGCAGGAAATGAATGGCATTACTTGCCAATTTGTTACATGTACATTTGTTAAAAATAGTTTTGTGATGAACCTCGGTGACAACCTGACCCAGGCAGTCATGTTATGTGTACGTGTGGATGTGCGTGCAGGCGCGCCGTTTTTGTTTAACCCGCGTTTGACCTATTAACACCGTAATGGTGACATTACCAGAGTATGACTGTATTGAGACAACTGGCATTTCCAAAGCTCATTTTCATTTGAGTAAAATCATGGTTATCTAATATGTACCAACGCTGCAAAAAGTTGGAGGATTTGGGTGTTGTTTAATTAACTTAATTATGCCCCTCCCCTAAATTAGGAGGTCTTGTATCCATCATACATCTTGTCTTGTATCTGTCAGTTGTTTTGCTGAAATGTTTTAAAATGCAAATTTATACAATATGTGCTGATTTATACACCAGCAACCTCCGTGATACAAGCGTACATGAACATGTTTAAGCCAAGAACATTGGGAGTCATCCCTCTCTGCAGATTTTAAGTTGAAGAACCCACTTTTTGGTCCTCATGCCTCGAGGAATTTGACCTTTAAGTCCCTGTAATATTTGCCTGTTGATTTATTCAATTAGCCAGGGGAGCCATGCACATCAAAAACACCAAATCCATCCCAAAAAGCTGGCCTGGTCTTGAGCAGTACCTTAGCGGCATGCCACTCTTCAAAACTGTTGCCCATTGTCCCGGATTTTCCAACCAACAGTGCTGGTGGGATGTACTGTACTTGCACTCTGTCTAGTTTTGTTCCCCTCGGAAGGGAACATAATCTTTGTGGTTTTCCCAGCATATGTGTAGATACACCTACACTGTACATGTACATGGATGTGTGTACAGTGTACATGGAAGTGTGCACACATGTACGGGTATACCCAATCTATAAATGGATGTCCTTCAAGGCTGGCACAGTTGCCATGGCAACCAAGTTGATGTGATTTGTCTCACGTGTTCCCACATAGGTACTAGGTGTGCGGCTGTGCGCTGAGAGTGAGAAAAAAAATTTAAAGAGAAAAAAAAGTTTTTTTCTTCTGTGATTCCATCCTGGCTTTTCAGGATGGGATCGCTGGCCCCAACTAAACAGCACAGCATGAGGCACTAACAGTCCCCTGATCGGTTGGGAAGATTTACAAGTTGTGTGTCATACTTTCCTGGGCTGTGTTGACTGTGTAAGGAGATCAGGGAGCATCATATTTTATTGCAGAAAATGAAGCTCTTACCCACGTGATAGGGCACACAGTCCTTCACACTGTGTACTTCACACTTCTCTTCTGCAGACATAACTACAGTGTACCAGTTTTGGGTTTCTTTTTTTCCCCGATTTTTCGGTGTGTTTTTTTAGAGCAACTGCGAGGTTGCCTTTGTCAAGATTTCAGCGAGACCTTTTCTAAAACAAGTGAAGTATGGCCAAAGAGTGGGCAGAAGACAAAAAGCAAACAAACAGATACATTTCTTTAGAATAAGGACAAAAAAAATCCCTGTTTTGGGACCTGGTCAAGATCATGCCATGTCAAGATTGATTGTATGCTTTTTTTAAAAATAATTCTTGTTCAACAAAGCCACCGGGGCTCTTCCGGCCACAATAGCACTGTGTACACAAACCATTAATCTCTTCAAAATCTGCCCCTGAATGCTGGACTGTGAATTTTGATAGGAGTCAAGTGATTGCTGAGGATGTGGCTGGGCTCCCTATATTGTGTGGTCTTGTCAGTGTTATTGTGTCTTCTGGTGAATAATGGTTAACATCTAGCTCGTAATCAGATAGGCATGTTATTGGCTAATATTCTGATAGTTCTACCCTCAATTTTTTATTACACAGGTCAGGTCTTGCGTTCGTTCGTCAAAAACCAGTAGCTAATTTATCGATATGTGTTTGATTAGCCTTATTTCAACTGACTTCTGTTGGTAACAGTCCTTTGAAACCTTTTGGGAGGGGGGTGTTTCGGGGGGGGTTATAGCTATAAATGAAACCCTTGTAGACAGGGAGAAGAGTGAAGTGATTGACTGGACTCAGTCTTGTGCAGGTGCCTTTTTGATGTGGCTGTTAACATGTGTTAATATCAAGTGGTGGTTAAATAATTCGCTTAGAGAAGCTGATGAGATTTCTGATGGCATCCTCTTTGCAGAATTCTTGATTGTTTCCCACATTTGCAGCATTGCCGATATATCGCAAACAGGCAGCCTGACTTTTCGAATGTTCTTTTTTTAGTCTTTGGCCATTGGTACATGTAGGCCTACTGGTACATATACGTAGTGCACATGTGATACAAGTTCATGGCTTCGGACAGGCAGTCACAGAAACAAGTTTCTCCCTCTCAGAGACCTGCTAGCGCATGATTTGTTGCACTGTAGAGTAGCATATCAAAGTCTACATGTTCAAATCCTGCATTTGTTTTGGTTTTTTGTTTTGCAGAAAAAAACTATGTGCAATTTTATTGAGACATATTGTGTTTGAAGAGCTTTGACCCCTGTCTGACCCTAATCCTTTGGCCTGACCATGATGTTAACAAGCAACCTTTAGACAGTGGCATTCGCAGTAAATCACTTGAAAATAAATTTCAAACAAGGTTTGCTATGACAACTTTATTGTTTGGAGGGGGGGAGGTGGTGTGTCTGATCCCTGATCTTAACAAACTACTTCTAGTTGGAAGCCTTTGCCGCCAACAGAACGTAAAAAGCTGGTAGCCTTGCTGATACCAGTATCTCCAGTATCATATGCCATAAATCAGAAGGGGAGGGGTTGATTACTAGCCTTGACCTTGCTTAAGAGCCCAGGAGGTGGCTATCAAGGTGGTACCCGTGCCCCCTTGATGCTGACACCTGTGCCCAAAGTGTAGCAGAACCTTGGATTTCAGACTTTCCAAAGCCGCGGTCGCTCACATCTGTTTAATACCCCCATCAACTTCAGTGCATTGTATTTCCCTTGACCCTCAACGGTCAAGCATTGTCAACTTCAATTTTGAAAAGAACATGTTTACTTGAGGCTAGAATGTAAACAAACTATTCTTTGAAATTACAGCAGTTTTTGAACTAAGATGTAGTTAAGTTTTTGCTTTGCTGTTCTTCCTCTCTTTTTTTGGAGGGGGGGTTGGGGGTGGTGCAGGGGCGAGGAGGGATGAGCTTTGATGCACAGTGATTTACCCGTCTTGCTGCTAGTTCCAATCTAATCGCAAAGTAGGGCATCTCAAGAAGTTCATGTGTGGATTGAGAGATATTACCTTCATGAACACATACATGGACATGCAATTATTTAGAATGAATCCAAGAGGAAGAGTTTTTTAAACAGTTATTTTCAGACATGTATTTCACTTAATTTTTTTTCCTTGCCCGCTAGGCACCTCAGCAGGCCCAGCTGCGAGTACCCCCGTTAAGCCAGCTCTTTCCCTCAACAATAGCAGCAATCTGGCACCTGCCACTCCAACCTCCACCAATAGCTTATGCATGGAGCAGGCAGTCGCCATCCATAGCTCCCCCGGGTCTCCTGTGGCCCCCTCCCTGGCCCCTCGCCGGCCGTTCGGGGTGGTGGTAGCCATCGACTTTGGTACCACCTTCAGCGGCTACGCCTACAGCTTCTGCCAGGAGCCCGACGACATCCAGATCATGCGCAAGTGGGAAGGGGGCGACCCGGGTGTGACCAACATGAAGACGCCCACAACGCTACTGCTGTGGCCCGATGGTGAGTTCCATTCCTTTGGCTTCACGGCCCGTGACTCTTATCACGACATGGACCACAACGAGGCTCTGCGGTGGCTGTACTTTGACAAGTTCAAGTTGGCTCTCCACAAGGATCCAGTGAGTACATTTCATAATTACATACGTCAGTCTCCTGTGCTTGCTGCGTTGTTTCCAAGTTTGTCCAAGTCAAGGCTCAAAGAGAAAAAATATTTGCTCAGAGTTTTGGCTACCACTGTTAATAGCACGTGTAACAGAAAGCCAGTGATAGGTGAATGCCGCCACCTCCCTTAGACATGTGCATCGGCGTCAGCCTGAGGAAGCCAATTCAGGCATGGACCAACATGAGCTTCGTAGTACCCTCAACCATTTGTGCAGGCATCCTCTGTTACACTGTAGTTTACAGCAACAACAGCTTTGTCATTTTAACATTAACAGTAGAAATTTTTATTTCTTGAAAGCAGGTATCTGCAGCTTTGCAAGCCAGCGCATCTTTATTTACAGTAAATGCATGTGTATGTGTTCCCAAACTTTTCAAGTAATTGCTGAAAATTAGTGTGGAATATTAAAACCAGTTTGCATTGCCATGTGGCTATTTTCTACTCTTATCTGCCTCTTCAGGCCTGGAATATTTCCATGGATTCATCTAATTTCTCATTTTTTTTAGGCCCTTCCTTCTGACTTCATTTAGACTTCTCCATGCCAGGCATGTACCTTTAAACACTTCCCCCTTCTTCAGTACCAACTGGAAAGCCTTTTATTGGGTATAATGAATCAGAGACCAATCAATTGATACCAGGAGATATCAAAGTTCGCCCAGGGTGTCCCCCTAAATGTGGCCTCTCTCCTTTGTTTACATATTTCCAGTCCACCTTTCTGGCATTTCTGAAATACTTGTGGCACAGTGCCCAACAAACCTATCTAGATGGGCTATCTCCAACTTTTTGGTCTAGGACAGGAAATGACACAGGCCGACATCTCAGAAAATATGTTTGTCTTTGTTATATTTCCGTCTGTTTGTATATATCTGTTTGCTTAGGAATTCCAGGTGCAGTCAGTCCATACATTTGTGAAACATTCTGTGAAGTTGTTTTTTTTTTTTTAATAGGAAAAAAACTGGAAATAGTTTTCGACAGTTTTGAAATCAGAGATTTTATAATTTATTATTACTTTTTTTTTCTGGAAACATGCAGACCCCGTGCTGGTGACCCACATTTCTATGTGCATTGTATTTTGAGTCAAGAAACAGACGAAAAATTCTGTCAGTGGTGGAGTCAGTGCGGTTGGAATAAAGAAGAAAATGTTACCGCCTTTGTAGAAATGTCAAGGTTTTTCTTCCCTCTCAAACAGTCTTTTATTAATTCTGGTGTAGACTGTTGTCAAAAATTTCCAAAAAAATTAGAAAGACCAAAATTTCGTGTTTCTCAACAAACAAACTAAGCCGAAAACACTCCAAATGAAACTGAAGTGGACCTGACTGAAAGTTACCGGTACAAACAATGTACCAATCACTTTACCAAGAATTTTGTACATGTACAGTCTTATTTTTCTGTGGTGTAACATAACAACATAGTTACTCTTTGAAGTGGAGTTAGAACAAAACAAAAGTTCTGCCCGTATTCATATTTAATCTCCAAATGGCCATTCAGTTTCTGGTAATAAGAAATGTAACATTTCCCTATTTTGGGAGCATGTTTTAGGGAAAAGGAGTGATCATGTGGCAGTTGTAAGGGTGGTTGGTAGCCAAGCCCTGACACTCTCTGCACTCTTTCTGGACTGTGTCCAGGGCCAGGGACTTTGCCGCAATTAGGAGAGCCCCACAAATTCCTTGCATGCCTACATTTTCCCCCAAGACCATAGCCAGAGCTGGTCCTACAGTTGATTGAGTATTAGGTCTTGGGGCAGTGGCAGAACCTGTCCCTTCCAAAAACAAGGAAAGAGCCTTTCTCTGAAACAAGGAGGCTTGTACATGTAACTCCACACGTAGGCCTCCCGCTGAACTACAAGTTTCTCTTCATGAGTTGGAAGCCACCAACTTGACCTGTCTTGGTACCCATTTGCTCATAAGAATGATGCTGAAGTCTTTATAAACCCTTTGGGTTTATCTCTTATTTGACTAAAGGGAGGGACACAGTGAGTGGAAAACTTGATGTTTGTAGCTTCAAATGACAGAAGTACGTGATATATTCTATGTGCCTGAGGGGCCGAATGTGAAGTAGTAAAATGGGCCTGCCGAACTAGTGGTATATGGAACTTTCTTTAACCTAAGGATTGTGTCTTTGAAACCTGTCTTGACTACTGATGCAGTTTGTCCAGATCTTTCATTTAAAAATGCTGGGCCCGTTCCCTTACCTTCCTTAGCCTTCAGATTTAGCAATTGATTTTTTTTTTGCTATCCAACCATTGGAAATTTCACCCACACCCTTTCAGTTAACCAAGTGATATATGAGGTTGAGAACCAGGAAGATTTGATTCACAAAGACCGCCTCCCCCCCACACACACAGAAAGAATTCTGGAGCCAGTCCTTGCCAATGGCTTCTATTTTGCTTGGTAATTAAGATGTTTGGGTTAAGGTCTGTTCCCTTGGATGTCAAATACCTGGTTGGGAACTCATAAATTGTAGCCGGCTCCCAACTCTTTCCATTCCAACCGGACCCTTGACCCTCATCCAGGGCAGAGTGACCTCCTAGCAACAGGTCAGGAGGACAGGGTGCCCTTTGATCCCAAACTGCACACCCTTGTCTTGACCCCACTCCCTAATAAATATGAATGGAATGCCCAGTGGAATGCTAGAGCCTCCCTTCCCCCCCCCCCCCAGAGCAGGTGGTCCTAGGTTTGAAGGGGGGGGGAAACAAGCAGCCTGGCAAATATCAGAAGTGATTAAATTTGACCAGCGTCACACCTTGTGACAAACTGCCCCGTGCTGACAGACCTGTTTGAGGTCAGTTTTTGCACTGTTTTGGTCCATTTTTCATCCCTCTTGGCTCATTTCCACTTGCCATGGATAGTATGGTTGGATTTTGTTTTTGTGGGTGTCAAGGTAGGGGTGAGATTTGTTAGGATATTTCCCAACTTCAGGATTTCCTTTTTTTCCCCACTTTTTTTCCAAACAATTCACAGTTAAAGTGTTTTTTGCTGATCAAACTTGATACCGCACACATGAGATGGGTAATTGCCTTGAGGCAGACACAGATCTATACCATAGACCCAAACTACCATGTGGTCCCCCTAAGCCTCTGGTAATTATTATTGGATATTTCATTTTTCTCCAATTTTGTCCCTGCGGACGTGGTATTAGCATGACAAAATCTGCAGTTTTTGTTTCACCAACTGGCATGAAAGAAAAATCTTCCATTCCAAAATTATGCAGGTAGCATGATTTATTGCAGGATGGATTTTTATAGTGTGTGTCGGTATGCCAAGGTCACCCATGATATGTTGGGTCCTGCTCCAGGTCTGTAATGAGGCTCCTTTTTTTTTGAGGCTCCAATTTCTTTCCAGGTATTTTGAAAGCCCAACAGATTTTCATGAAAAGGGGAGCCCTTACAAGATCTTTTTGGCCTTGATTTTACGAGATTGGCTTATTTAGAGGTATAAAGTTAACTGCAGTTCTCATTCCACTGACTGGTTTCATGTTTGAAACTGCTTTGAAAAAAATCAAGAAACACAGTGGCCTTGTCAATAGTCAATTTGAAAATCATGTAATGTATCTTGTGCAAAAAGTCCATGAACTACAGGGTGTTCTGTGTGAGTGAACACCAGACAATAGACCTACAACACAATGATGTAATGCAGTGTTTACCGCGGTGCATTGTGGGTGAAAGGTGGGGATTTTGCAGGAACGCTTCGAAGTGACACGTTGTGTGTAACGTATACTATATGGCGTGTGTATCAACCTTTCACAAAAAAAATAAACAAATAAAAGAATTCTCGATTACCGTCCGAAATGGTCCATGTGGACTGCTGTGTACCATTGTGTTTATTAAGCACTCAACGAACGCCAGAGCTGCGTTTTTTAAAACTTCCAAAGGACCACAAAGGTTACAGATTTCCGTGAAAAATAAGGCCATTTATTTATTTTCACACGGACCATTTTTATTTTTAAAATTTTTTCGCGTCAGGTTGATACACACACCAAATAGTATACGTTACACATAAAGTGTCACGTCGACGCTTTCCTGCAACATCCCTACCTTTCACCCACGATGCACCGCGGTAAACACTGCCTTACGTCATTATATTGTAGGTCTATTTGAGGGAAGATTCATAAACCTGTGGCATAGCGTGCAGTAATAAACCACACCCTCTGCCACATTATAGCAAATCTCGAAAACTCAGAACCTAGAAGAACCTTGCATATTGCAGCCTGACATTGGTTGACCATTTTTTGTTGACCTGAAAAGGTGTTGTTCTAAGCGTTGATCTAAATGTGCCATCATGCAGTTCTAAGTGAAAGCATTCCTGTGTAAAGTCAAAATCCCATTGCTGCCTCTTATTTCTTCTCGACCTCCTGTTTCTGCAGACCTATGCACTTTTGTGGAATGCTCGTCTGGACAGGAGAAAGGCACTAGAAGTAGAATCTAATTTGTTGGACCTCATCTAAAACCTGCCGCCAGAAAAAAACTTACAAATTGTGTAGCCTGAATAGTCTCAGTGGATTTCCCCCATCAATTCTCTCCCAGATCACTTGCCCTGCTGTTTTGTCCACCAAAATTCCAACCAATCCCCGGGCACTCAAAAATTTGATCTTTTTCACACCTTTTTTTTGGGGGGGGGTTAGGACAGTTTAAAGCTAAAACCCTTGTTGTTTGTGTGCCTGCTTATCAAGGGACGACTTGTTTCAAACTTGCCCAGAGGGCTTGTTACTTCCTGGTCTGGCCTGGTCCACTGTGTTCTTAAGGTCAGTGGCAAAAGCTTGGGGGGGGGACTGACGTGCCGTCTGGCATCTTGTTGTTTCAGTGTGTCAATGTCATCTTTTCCCATGGTCGACTTCCTTACTGTACAAGTGCTGATTATAAGTGACCCTCTGATGAGCAAACTGTCCGAGCAGTAGGCTCAGAAACGGTGAAGAGAGGAAAGTTTGGGAACTTTGGTTGCTCTTAAAGTCAATGTTGGTACA